CGGTCTACCTGGACTGGATCCTTTGAAATCCATGAAAATAAGGAGACCGGAAGAGTTTTGGCTGTGAATTCAAACAGGTCTACCTTTGGCGGCCTTCTCCCCTCTGTTGCTTATCAAACGTTACAGTTGACACACAAAGCAGGGAAAAAAATGAATACCGAACTTTTAATACTGTTTCTTTTTATTTATTTCTCATTGTATAGTGAACAAAGACTACACTAATTAGAATCCAGAGTGGAATAAAGGTTCCAACCACCGGGAGCATGAACAAATAAAATCAAATGTAATGATAGAAACCTTCAGTTAAATAACCTGCTGCTGTCATTCTGCACATCTCTGATGTTGCTGCTTTTTCCAAATATCCATTACTGTAAAAATGTCCATAGCTGCATATTGGTTATTTATAGTCCAGGTGCACAGTTTTCTATTAGTAAAACACTTTACAGTATTTTATTGTTTATATTTTAACTCTTCACTATTATTTTAGTCCTATACATTTTTCTAAGGTCCTCATTTGTGTGACCATTTTAAATAATCTATCTGCTGCTGTAAATTTGACCATTGTGGGACAATAAAGAGATTTTCTATTCTATTCTATAAAAGGGGTAGAAAATTATAAGTAAATCTAAACAATGTTTATATAAAAACTATATCTGCAAAATCTCTTATATTTAACAACAAAAAATACTTTGTTAAGCATATCGTGCAAAACAGCAATAAAAAAATTTAAATCCTATCAGTTTTATAGTTCCCACCCTGCAGATATATTAGAATCTGTCCTTAAATTGCAGCCAAACCCATTTACACAGTAAGAGATAAAAACCTTTAGATAAACCAAACATTACCGCCACATATCTGACTCAATAACCATTAAAACAACTATTTTCATTCATTTCAAAAGGAACTATACATACTTGTATTATATTAAACTGAACTTCCAATATTCACTGCTGTTCGGTGCCAAGTACCCTTTCCTCTGATAACGGAGCAGCCAGCTTGCTTGGTCTCGCAATGAATCCTGGGTAAACCAAGGATAGAGAGGAAACATCGGACCCGTCCTTCAAAACGGTTGAAAAGAAGTACACATTTCTAGGCCGCATAACGAGGAGTCTTGGAATCCGATCAGACCTATGACATAATTGGCCTTCGAATCTGGCCTTCTGAGGACGCATCCCATGAATTTGAACAGAGCATATATGTGTACTTGTGCATTCTTGTGTACTCGTGAAACGTCATCACCCTCAGCCCTAGTACTGTTCCACTTCAGAAGACCACAAGACCGAGAATGGAAAAAGTCCCTGGATGTTGTTCTCGCCCCTTCCTCTTTACCCAGCATGCATCAGAGCAGACTTGCCCGTTCTCAAGATTGACAGCTTTCCCAGCATGCACTGCGGCAGCAGCAGCTGATTTGATACGTGTTTATCTGACTGTGTTCATTATTATTCCCCCAATAAATGAAAAAATTAGAATGTATTATTATGTAGAGACTATTAATAACAAGAGATGAAATGCAGCTCCAGACGAGCCGAGCGTGTGATGACGTCATCAGTAAGCTTCTGTTCCAATTTGACCCATATGTATGCTGAGTGCTCCTGTTCTCCCAGAGTCCATACTTTCCTGTCTTCTTGGCGAGAACACCAGTCCATACTCGCAGCTCTGATCTGAGAAGTTTGTACTGGGTTCAATCCCCACAGCCAGCACTCTGGGTCTCTGAGTAAGACCCTTAATGCAAAGAGTTCATTTCTCCATTGTGAGATCAACAAAGTGCAATGTCTATGCTTTCTACAGCAGTCCCTCACAGTGAGCATGCAGGAAAAAGACAGAAGGAGACACAAAAGGAACATAGAAACTGATCTATAAAGACTTTCCATGTTAGATGTCACCAGAGATGGCAAAAGTACTCACTTTTACTTGAGTAAAAGTACAGATACTTGTGCTAAAAACTACTCTGGTAAAAGTGGAAGTACTGATTAAACTTCTTTACTCAAGTAAAAGTAACAAAGTACAGGCTTGTAAATTTACTTAGAGTATAAAAATAAAAGTAGAAACCACTTTTTTCATGCCGTTGCCTACATTTTAAATGGATGTCTGCCAATAGGACTAGATCTCCGTTGTGTTCATTTTCAATCATCTCGTCGTCCATGCTACTATGCTAACACCACCGCCACCAAGCTGCAATGATTTGCCGCCAATGAATACCGCCAAATCTGTCGATTCATCTTGTAGTGGTGCGTCAAATGCAACGTAGATTCCCATCCAATTAGATTGAATTTGGTATTGATGACGTGAAAAATAATAACGGTAACTCCATTGAAATGATTCAAAACTAAAGTAACGAGCCAATTTTTTTAAATGTAAGGAGTAGAAAGTACAGATATTTGTGTAAAAATGTAAGGAGTAGAAGTAAAAAGTCGCCATAAAAATAAGTAGTAAAGTAAAGTAAAAATATCCGAAAAATCTACTTGAGTACCGTAACGAAGTATTTGTTCTTCGTTATCTCTGGATGTCACAGACTAAAACTGGTAGTTGGTTCCACAGGAGAGGAGCCTGATAACTAAAAGATCTGCCTCCCATTCTACTTTTAGAAATTCTAGGAACCACTAGTAAACCTGCAGATTGAGAGCGAAGTGCTCTGTTAGGAACATAAGGAACAATCAGATCTCTGATATCAGATGGAGCTTGGTTATTTAAGTTATTATATGTGAGAAGGAGGGTTTTAAATTAGCTAAAACATACTTGGCTTTTAGGTAAAACCAATCTCATGTTAAACCACGATTCTGGCAACTTTTGATTCACTGGATTCTTTTTTTCATAAAACAAAAATGTTTTCATCAAAGTTCTCAGAAACATCTGCTGAACTGATGCTCCAGCATTGTTGGATTGAGTCCATTTTCCTGAAATATGTAGTATTACCATCTGCTTTAGAAAGGCTTTGATGCTGCAGTATTATTGCTGGTACTACTGACCTTTTGAAAGCTGCTGTTTCTGATTGATTTCATTGTCATTTTTTTAGATCAAAGATGCAATACAAAGTGGTCACAGCAATAGATACATAAATAAGGCTTCAAAACAAAGACCACTGGTTAAATTCAAGGGAAATTTTAGAACCAGCACATGAACTTGAGCCTGTTTCATCAGAAGCGAAAGAGGCAATGAAACTCCCAGCAGATGCCAGGATTAAAAAGTGCTTTAGTTTGGGAAAAGTTTTATGTTTTTTGTGTAAATAACAGAACCTGAAAGAGCCTTAAAATATTTTCAAACAACATTATAGCGTAGTCATATAATTTCAGATCCAAAAAAGCCAAACTGAAGTGTGTATTTTATAAGATTTAAAATAATTGCAGGTGGTCACTCTATATTTTTTGTTACATTCTTTCAATATATCTAAAACATTTTATCCACCTCGTTGGAAGGTGGATTCTTCCTTACACCACATCTCCTTTGTCTTTCCTAGAAATGGGAGTGACGGTCATAGGGCATAGAGCTTGGAATCCTGAGGTTCAGACTGCAGATCTGGGTCTCTGAGCAAAAGACCCTTAACCCCCAATTGCTCCCAGTCCGCCCCACGATGACGGTCCACCCATCCCCATCCCCAAGGGGATGGGTTAAATGCAGAGAGCTAATTTCTCCAATGTGAGATCATCTATCCATTTTCCATCACGCTTATCCCTGCAGGGGTCTTGAAGTGTGGTGGAACCTATCTCCAGCTGTCTATAGGCATGAAGCGGGGTCCACCCTGGACAGGTCACCAGTCCATCACAGGACAACATTTGGACTGTGGGAGGAAGCCGGAGTACCCAGAGAGAACTCATGCATGCTCAGGGAGAACATGCAAGCTCCATACAGAAAGACCCTAGGCCGGGAATATAACCCAGAACCTTCTTGCTGCAAGACAGCAGTGCTACCCGCCGTACCACTGAGCAGCCCCATTCTCATGGCCTCAGATAATGGACTTGTATCTGAACTTGTGCTGTTAGATCTCAGTGCTGCATTCGATATAGTTGATCAAAATATTTATTTAGAAAGACTTAAATATTTTGTAGGAATTAAAGGAACAGTGCTTGACTGGTTTAAATCGCTTTTAAGAATTTCCTTCTTTCATCTGCGGAATATTGCAAAAATGAGAAATCTCCTGTCCAGGGGTGATGCTGAGAAACTAGTCCATGCATTTGTTACTTCAAGGCTGGACTATTGTAATTCTTTACTATCAGGAAGTCCACAAACTGTAGTTAAAAGCCTTCAGCTGATCCAAAATGCTGCAGCCAGAGTTCTGATGAAAATGAAAAAGAGAGATCATATCTCGCCTATCCTGGCTTCTCTTCATTGGCTTCCTGTTAAATCCAGAATAGAATTTAAAATCCTCCTTCTCACATATAAATCCTTAAATGGCCAATTACCAGTTTTAATCCATGAGGCAGACACCCAGCCTACTTTTAAGGCTAGGCTTAAAACTTGAATTATTGATAAAGCTTATAGTTAGAGTGGCTCAGGTTATATAGTTATGATGCTATAGGCTTAGACTGCTGGAAGACATAGGGACCCCTATTTGTTCATTCTGCTTCATTCAATGTCTGCTTCTGTCTCCTTGAACTCTGAGCCTGGTTCTGCTGGAGGTTTCTTCCTGTTCAAAGGCAGGTTTTCCTCTCCACTGTCGCTACAAGCAGGCTTAGTGTGAGGGATTGCCTTTGAGTCAATGAGTCGATGCAATCAACTGTTTTTCCTTAGATAGAAAACTTTGAATCAATTTCACTGGATGATCTGGTGAACTGGAAAGTGCCTTGAGATGACATGTGTTGTGAATTGGCGCTATAGAAATAAACTGAATAGAATTGAATTAAGGGTCTTGCTCAGAGACCCAGAGTGGCAGTCTGTGGGAGTGGATTTCAAACTCACAACCTCAGGATTCCAAGCTCCATGCACTAACCACTAGGCCGCCCCTCCACTCTATGTACGCTGAATAATAGGACGAATTATTGCTTTCTTGTTTCTCTCTTGAACAG